ATTACAAAGTGTGTTTATTTGCCGCATGTGATCTAGAGAAAGGGTGACTAAGAAAGCCTTTCTTGCTGTGAGTGATGGAAAAAAAGTGAATCCAGGCTTGTATCTGTTTACAATAGCAACAGAACAAGTATCCAATGTGTGTACAACATGTCTGCGAGCATGCTGCTATCATCTGTGTCACTTAGTCCTTGGGGAAACAGTGATGCGTTCCCTTGGCCTCGCAACCAATGCTAACGTCATGCTACATTGGGTGCCCATGATCCCTGTTACATAATACTGATCATAATAGTAAACAGCAGTGACCACAGGATGAGAGACAGAAGGGAGACAGAGGGAAGGAAGATGGAAAAACTAAAGGGATTAGAATAGTTTTTCAAATAGATACTCATTTAGTAACATCACTTGAACGAAAAAGAAATTCTTGACATTTTCAGTCATTCCTGTCTTTTCGCTAAGCTAGCTTACTGGCTGCTGGCTGTAGCTTCTTCCCTAGCATACAGACATGACAGTAGTATAGTATCAGTCGACTCTTCTAGCTCTTACCAATAAATCACATCTGATTTTGTAGTAAAATTACACATTATGCTGATCAATGCACAGCCTTTAAAGATTATCCAGCTCACAAAGGTGTTATGGCTAACATGTGAGCAAATTGATCCAGAAGTGATTTCCTTTTGTTCAACTTTTTGTTGTTCGCTATCAAACATCAATTTCCTCCACTAGATGACCAACTGGTGAACATCAAATGTTGCTGTCTGTAGATGCTAGCTCTCTCTGAAAGCTTATCGCTAATTAAGGCGACTATTGTTTGTAAGGCTGTTAGCAGGGTTCATCATAGCTCTTACAGAGTTTTACTTTATAAACTAATGTTACATGACAAATAGATGAGAGCATTACCTTGGCTCAATATCTGCAGAGTTAAGTAAAAAGGTTCATGACAGGGATCATACTGTATAAAAAGAAGGATGACTTGACATTCCCAAAAGTGAAGCCAAAACATTTGGGGCTACATTACAGTTCATAAACCCTGCCTCCTCTATGTTAACAGATGGGACATGGGTCAAACTAAGAAATACAAATACGCTACAGGTCAAATCATTTTTGTCTCAAACATTTCTGTCATTATGGTTTGTTCTTATCATGTGACTATGAGTCCAAGTGTTCATTTGTCTGAGAAGTTCAGATGAAATTTGTTACTTGATGCAAAGAAAAAAAGGGGGACAAATGTAGCTAATGTGGCACTCTGTACTAGAAGAGGAACTGTGAAAGGAAACATATTGAACACTAACACAAGAGTCATTGAACTTCCCATAACTGTGTGTCTGCTTAAAACAGACACAATAATTTGATCTGCAGTAGACTGTACCAACCTGTAGTTTCTGGTTAGATGTGTTTTGGTTTGTGATAAGGGTGGGACGTTTATTCTGTGGCTCAACCAGCTGATCTCTACTGCACATGCTCTGGCTCCAAATGCGTATATATGTCATCTCTCGTTACAGGGGGTATTTTGGGTTCACTTTTGTACAACATAAGGATCTGGAGACTCTAACATTATAGTCACTTGATACAATGGCAACACAATACACAGATTAGTAGAGTTATGATGATTTATTGTATAAATCTGGTCATTTAAACTACAGGCTTTTCTGATTTACTGACTGCAACAGCAACCCTCAGGTTGACTGGGTTGCTTCTGTGGACCATCGGTATCATAAAATCTTGGCCAAGAAGCAGACAGAGAGAGCAATACTGCTCAGTCAGTCTCTTTTATACTGCTGGGGATAATTCAATAATGTCTACTGGAGCTCTTTCACCTCTGTAGTTAGTATTAATAACCTGTTAGTGAAAGTGAAGAAAATAAAGAATGTCTGTAACTACTGTTGGAGAAACAAGAGCGAAGAAAAGGAGAGAGAAACTGCTTGAGCCAGTACTCAAGCTTAGATTCTGCACATTAAAGCACTTGTCCTACAGGAAGGTGTAGGTGTACAGAAAGAGGAAAGGGGGAGGCTGGGAAGTGAGGTGCTGAGCTGAACAAAGATGGATTTCCTGCCTGAATCACTTTAAAAACATGCCATATACTTTAATTGCCTTGTGAAGAAACTCCTGGATCTAGACTACGACATTGGTAACTCGAGAGGGCTTTGACCTGAGTGCTGCCCCAGCTCTTTCCCAACAGTACTGTTTTCTTTCTGTGTTCTGGACGTGGTTCAGGCTGGAAGTGAGAGGTCCAGGGTAAAGGCATGCAGCTAGGAGGACCATTCATATTTTCTTTTGGATGTCAAGATAGTGACCTGACAAAAACAGCCACTTGACACAGACATAAATAGACACAAACAAAGGATGATAGTAATCGGCCTGTCTGACAAACAGTGCCAAGACCATCACAAGTCCAGATTAATCCATTTTATAACCCACAATAAGTGAAACTACGAGCACTGCCTGCAGTTACACACGTCATATTAATGTGATTTTTCAGATCCGACTGTAGAGATTGGATTTATGTGATCATATTATTGTACACCCACATTTGGCCTGAAAAATGGACAGTAATACGTCTCATGAAGGCTGTATTTATTTTTAAATACGTCTGGACCACCTTAACCCTAACACCTCTGATCCCTTTTTTATTTCTCTTGATAACTCAAAATATGCATTGTGGGTAGATTGTAATCAGACTTTAAGCAGCACTGTGTTCAGAAGCAAGCCTCAACATTTCAACATTTCAACATTTCAATGACTTTTTGTAAGATGTTGAAGAAAACACAGTGAGATTTCTGTGAGCCCAGGTCGTCACTTAATACGTCCTGGCATCATTGGATGATAAAATCTTATGGCTGGTTACAGCCAATGGGAAACCAGAACCAGCAGGGACAGTTAAGGGGCCGTAAAAAATCTTGAGTCAGCCTTCAAAAGATGGAAATATTAGACCAGAGAAAGAAAGCATTGTGGTTAGAGCATGGGAGAGTCTTTTAAAAGCCTGATTTAATGAGCCTTTTGCATCGTGTTTATAACATATATATTTAGAAAACGTTTTAATAACATGAATTTGAATCATGTCTACAATTAATAAAGAAATATAAATATTACTTTGTTTGTGAGCTGTTACTGTTACATCACTGTTACAGTCATTCAATTATTTTTAAGGGTTTATGTAGGTTTTATGACTTCCACTGCCTCAGACATTAAACTGATCATCAATTTTATGAGTCATTTTTTGAAATTATATTTAAAGAGGGATTTTGGTAAATTATTTGAACCTTTAACATATTGTTATTCACTGATAATTCTTTGCTTCTTCTTTTTAATCGCTCGTTTTTACATTTTGTTATGAATCTCTTCAGTTTTCTTTTCTTTTAAAGATATTTTAAATCACCAAACAGCATCAGGAGAAGAGGTGGACTCTCTGTACATGGGGCGCCCGCTCTACCAACTGATCTAAACCAGCTCCCCTTTTTAAGTTATCTTTGAATGAACCACAAAAGCAGTGTCAGTATGTATAACTAGATTCTTCAGTTGCATATCAGATACTAGTAATTACATGCAGTTGTGGCCATAACATAGAATAAACATGCTACAGTAATCCTTCTCTGCTCTTTAATGTGCATGAATCTCGACCTGATTGACTGTAATCTGCTCTCCCTTCATTGAGACTAATATGTGAACTGTATGTGTCTGACTGAACATGTTTATTTGTGTTTTATACCGTGTGCACATATATGTGCAAAAGCACTGAATGCATGTGTGTGTGTGTGCTTGACGAGCAGGCTATAACTGTAATGGTCCGTATCACTTCACACTAGCTGTCAGTTTGCTCACTCACAAAACTGCAGCCTGTAGGTGACCTGACACATGTTCACCTCCAGTCTTCACAGACCAGGTTCACATACAGGAAAGATAACATTTTTGCTGCCTTGCTGACAGGCTAACATTAAGCAGAGGGCAACATGAAAAACATGAGGTTGTCTTTAATGGCAAAATGCATCAGTCTTAATAGGCAAAACCTGAATCCTTATTGGTTCACTATTGAGTCCCAAATGACAAACGTTCACAGGACAATATAAGTAGCTAAATGATGAAAAATGTGATTTACATGTAGATTATGAAAACTGCTGCATAAAGTTTTATCATGATCTGTTATTTATTAATGCACATCTGAGACTCAACACAGTCACATATTGAATGTTTCCTGGCTTCCTGTGTGTGTGTGTGTCTGTGTCTGTGTCTGTGTCTGTGTGCGCGTGTGCGTGTGTGTGTGTGTGTGCATGGACACGCATATAGCAGCTGGATGGTGCAACAGCAGCCTTGTCCAAACAGGAAAAAAGAGCAAAGGGAGCTCAGAGGAAGGACCCAAGCATTCAGAATTAATCATACACTGTGACACACACACACACACACACCCACCCTAGAGGCAGTACCACCCATTTTCAGATGGACAAGTACAGTTTTACAATCGTACAATAAACAGACACACAGAAACCCACCCATCACCTGCTTTTTGTGGGCAAACACACTTACATGCATGGATTTGTTGAAACAATCACACATACACACACACTTGCACGCTTCCCTCAGGACACACTACACCATTCAGGAAACATTAGCAGCATTAGCCAGGAATGCTAATTGAAACAAACAGCTCATGGTTTCTTCGTGTCTGAGGTTGGAACTGACTGTACTGCTGTATGTACTGTGGTTTTGGTGGGGTGCTTGTGTATATTCACATGTACAGACACACATTTTCAATCAAGCGATTTTGGATTTATGGTGCTCTTATTTTCTCCTGCTATTTCTCCTGCTATTTCTCCAGTACACGAAAAAAAGCAAATGGTTCACCATTAGAAGTTAGTGCTGACAGTCACATAGTTTTAGACCAAAGCACAGCTGATGTCTCTATTACTTCACAATTGCATGTAAAATCACACTCCCACCTTCAAAGAGAATCACTTTAATTTTCTAAGTGAACCGAAACTTCCCTAATGCAGAATCTGAGACTTGCTCACCTGCACCAAAAGCAAAAAAGTACGTCTGGTTGGGATTTCTCTTCAGTAAGCTGGACACACGGTGAGCCATGCGCTCGTTGCGTTTGTAAATGAGCTCCTGGCGGAAGTAGCTGTCAATCTGCAGTGCTGTCAAGCGGTCATGAGCTGGCAGGGAGCTGTTGATGAAGTGAGGCAGCTGAAAGAGAGAGAAACAGACAGAAAATTAGGATTTAAAAAATCTCTGTGGTTAAATTCCATTGCAGACTAAAACATTGAGGAATTATTTAGAGCAACCATCAAGGATAAGAAGAACGACCTTGTGTGAAGGGAACTAAGAGGGCTAGAAAAGAAATGACAGAGTAAATGAAAATAGCAAATGTGTGCGAGTGTATTTTTTATTAAGCCGTATATAAGGAAGGATACAAGGGGAGGAGAATGATGTGCCATGATTGTTTTTCTTGGATGTGTTGTTGCTCAAATAAGTGCTTGTATGCAAAAACAAGTACAGTATGTACATCAGCTTGTGAATGTGGGTTTAATTGCTGTTTGATTTATTAAGAGCTGAGCAGTGGGTTACAGACCACTCTGGCTATGCTCCACTCTTGGCTTCTTCAGTGGATTCAACAGACTGTTAATCTGTGAGGATGAGCTGGGGGTCCTCAGTGGGGGTAGCCAGGGTTTGACATGAGGGTCTTAGCTGTCCAGCTAACTCCCGTCTCCACTGTCTTAATTTATGTTCCTTTAGTGCCTTCGCTTCCTGTCAGGGTATCTCTGTACTTGTCTCAGACTCTTTCTCTTGATTTAGATGTTGAAAAAAATGAAATATTGGAGAAATCCCACAACACTACATTACACTGATTTGGTCTGCTTCCTCTCCCTGGCATGTTATTTGCGTCCAGTAATAAATACGTCTACTCTTGACTCTGTTTGTACTGTTTGCATTATCATGATGCCAAAACTGTTTTCCATGTGTGATATGTCCTATTTTGGACATTTTTTATGTGAAAAGTTTGGTCCAGTATTTAGAGTATAGGCATGACATCCAGAATTATAAATGATATCAAGTTAAACATAAACTGCTCCACTAGTTTATCTATCTAAGAAGGCGGTTTTATAAGGATAAAAAAAAAAAAGCAAGCTCAGCAAATATACCGTTGTACTAGTCATAAATATACCCAGACATATTTAGCCTACGTGTGGGAAACTCCTAAAGCGTTTGCTCCACTGTTTCCTATGTCCCAATATTAAGGGAGATCTTGGTTCCTATCCTGAATTCTGGCACCGTCTCTGTTCTCTCTTTTACAAAAGTCCTAACTTCAGTGTTCCTCAATTTCTCAATGAGTCAAATGAAGGCGGGATTGGAGAAAGAAAGATTGTTTTGCTATAGTAAGTTTTCTGTGCCTCCACATCTTTCTGAGTGTGCAGAAGTGTTTTATCTGCTCTTGTTTTTGAGTGTTATGACAACACACATGAGCAAACATACAGCTGCTGTCAATAACTGAGTTACAAGTTGACACTACAGCAGAACAGCTGCAAAAGGTGCCTTAGTCAGTTAGAATATGTGTGTGTGTTTGTGCGTGCGTGTGTGTGTTTGTGTGTGTGTGTACAATGTGTGGTGTCCGAATACTTAATACATAAGGTGCTGATATCCATCCATCCCTTCCTCTACCACTCTTTCTCTTCTGTTTCCCATGATGGTAAAACTTTGTAGGTCATATCAAATAGTATTTAGTTTGTCTTAGCCTACACACATTTTACACATTTACAGGTTTAAGGGTCAAAATGTTCTGCCTCGTATGCTTTATTGGCTCCATGTATGAGAAACAATGAATTCCCTGGTGTCAGAAGGGTGGCACTGGTAGGTAATCTGAGAACAAGTTTTGACATTTAAGATGAACTCTCATACTGTAAATGACAGTGTCTCTGGTTTTGCTTACTTTTTTTCCCCCAATTTTCTTTTTAGCTGCAATGCTGCATGGAGAAATATTCACATATCTCTAGCCTGAACCATCATATTCTCTCTCTGTGTTGCTTCAGGTTGAATGACTCGGGATCATCTTGATTGACAGAGGTTCTTGATTCATCAGAGTTGGATGAATCAGTTACTGAAAGAGGGAGGGAGGTGGAAAGAGAGTTCTTTATCATCACTGTGATAAGTGAGGATAGCGTGAGTGTTTTATGATGAGAGAAAAAGTGCTTCATCAGAGAAGGGTCAATGTGGGAGTATAGCGGTAAATGCAGATAAGTTATCGCAGAGACGACCATTAGCTACTCTGTATCCTAACCTACACAGGAAATGTGGATTGACGGTAAGATAGTTCCTCCCTTCCTCACTACTGGAATTGCTCGGCACTCACTTTCTCAGTCCGTCTGTTCTGCAGGTTGCTTGTCCCAAATGTGTCTTCATGATAAGGCTTTTTATAAGGTTCCTTTTTCTTCGTTCCTCTTACTTTTTCTTTTTTTTTTACATTCGACAGTTTTGAATGTCTTTTGTCTTTATTTTTCTTTGTATTTTATCAGCATGAGACCATCAAAACACCAGATTTTCACCACATGACACTGTAATGCAGAACAAATATTTAAGGGATTTTTTTTATTTCACATGCAAATATCTTAAAATGCAATTACTTTGGTTACAAATCCTCTTCATCTTGGTGCAACATCTTTAGCAGTTATCATAGAGGCTCGGTCAAATACTATTAAATGGCCAAATTCAAAGTTTTAGTTTTTTTTTTATCATTGCAGTCTCACTTTCCATTTTTTTAATCATATGCCACAGTTTTTCTTGCTTTTTTTCCCTCATTATTTTTTAAAATGTATTTTCTGAGATGGATTTGGGGGGCATTTGAGTGTTTGAAAGTCGTAACCTCACCTGTGTCATTCTGCTGTGCTCTGCTCTAGAATCCATTGACCTCTTTCCAATATGATGGTGATTGAACAATCAGAGCATCAGGGTCTTGGAGGACTCTGGATTAGGTCCTTTCTATCAAAATAACAGCTGGTCTTTTACGACCTGGGAAGTTCACGCACAAACCTGCTATAGCTCAGCAGGCAGCAGAAGCGGGCAGTGCAGTCAGGCGTCTGATTGCTCTAGCATGTGCTGGGAATGTTAATACATGTTATTATGATTATAATTATTATGGGGCGAAGTGGTATGATTTAAAGCACTCATGCAGGGGACGACGGAAAGAAAGACTGAAGGTGAAAGTGTGGCTCAAAAGATCTTCAAAGAGAGATTAATGAAGATATCTCTTTTATCACTGCTTTACACCTGATACATGGCGTGATGTGTCTGAAGTTGTGCATACTTTCTTTAACTTTGTATGTCCCGTGAGTAAATGATGTGGAATCTCTGCAGTTAAGCTGTGTGCTGAGGTTTCATGGTGTATTAGGTTTAATGAGACTTGAGGATCTGTGAGGGAGGTTGACACAGCATAATTGACTTATGAGGAGGGCTTTTGAGTAAATCGGCATCCGATCGAGGAGATAGAGTGAGAGCTACTGCATGCTATGTGTATGTATGTGTATATGCCCATTACACCGAATGGCTTTTTGACAGCTGGCAGATCTGGGTATAATGACTGATGAGGAGGCCACCACTGAGGGAGCAGAGGCTGTGTTATGAAACAGAGTTAGAGGAGGTCAGATGGTGTATTTATGGCGGAGTTCAGAGCTATTAAAGTGTCAGACTATCAAGTAACTTGAAGTTGAGAGGGATTAAGATGGCAATGAGCAGTTTTGTGGAATTGATGTGCAAGTCTAAAAGTTTGAGGTGATGATGGCGTAATGGCAGAGAAGTGGGTATGAGAGGTTTGCCAACTCACTTCTAGGGTCTGACACATTTGAGTTACAGATGTTTTTAAAATAAGGCTGCAAGTTTTTTTGGTAGTTTTTTTAGGAATACATTTCTTCATCTGAAATTTTGCCATACATTTGTTGACAAAAAAAGCCAATGTATTCTTCCCTTGAAAGATTATCTTATCTTCTCAGCATTGACTTGTAAACAGGTGTAGGTGGAAGACTGTTCTGTAATCCCTATGAGTTGTAAAGATAGGCCATAGTATGGTATTGTATAGTACAATACAATATAATATGAAGCAATACGGTGCTGTATCGTATTGGATAATATGGTATCATATCGTATTATATCATATCCTATCGCAGAAAATTACATCACATGACATGGCCAGCATGGAATGATATTGTATTACATTACATGGAAAGGCATTGCATAGTAATGTATTACTGTACATGAGCAATGAATTTGTATGATTAAAGCCTATATGTTGATCATTTTAAAACAGCTAGTTTGTATTGGCTTTAGTTGTTCTGCAGACAGCACACATAACCCTGCGGAACAAAACACTGTTTCAGCTTTTGCCACCCTTTAAGGGAACATTTCTGCAGGTTTAGTCGTCTAAAATCAAATTTCAGACAAACCTGTGAAGTGTCATGGTTGAAGATGATGGAGCTTAGGTCACCACAGTTGTAGTGGGTAATGAGGTCCTCAGTGGTGTAGGAGCCCTGCAGGCTGCCTGCTCGGACGCCCTCGTGCTGCAGCAGCGTCTGGTTCAAAGCAAACAGCACCTGCAAGGAGAGAGACAAAAAAAGACAGGAAGGGTGGTATAAGTTTCTGCGTCCGCAAACTCAGTTTTTCTCTGCTCTGCACTCAAGAGGAATTTGCTATTAGGAGAAAGAAAATTGTGCCAGCAATGCCAGTGCTGATTTTTGAAAATAGCCCTTTAATGTGACTTGAATATACAATGAAGCTGTTATTCTGTGTCACCGAAATATAAGTTCTTTTGCAGCATTTAATTTCTTTCCGGATATTTTTGTACACTTTCCATACAGGCTGACTACAGGTAAAAGCAGACCACAAAATATATGGCAAAACTCCACAGGCTTTCTACTGAAGGAAGGAAAAAAACATTGAAAGAAAGTGACAACTGAAGTGAGAGAAAGTGAGAGAGAGACCTTTTAAAAAGAACCCTTCTTTCTCTTTCACCAGGCCTTCAATTTATAGCACCCATTAAAATCAAAAGTAAACCCTCTTAAGAGAGAATTTATAGTATGCAGCCGCCAGCCAGCCCAAGGCCTCAACAGCTGTCCAAGACACCAGGGGTTAACCTCGCAACTCCCGCCCTCGACAATCCCAGGCCACCTCTGACTGGCCTGGCACCTGGGACCGAATTGTCAATCACTGTTAAGCTCTATAACAGGAACCAGAGGTGTGTTTTTTCTCTCTCAGCTTATAACAGAATTCACACAGCTCTACATAACACTTATCAGTTGACTTGATTACAACAAGTGACTCAGCTCATCATATCTCCAAGCCACACCCCACTTTTTTCCATGTCTATGATCCTAATTATCATGAAACCTGATTCGAGCTTTGGAAAATCCTGTTGGGAGAGCGTCAGCATCCAAGGCCTCAATGATTTGTGGAGCAGCTTAAGGCCGATACAGCTGCACAACTGATTGAGCCCCATGTCAGAAGTCTGGGTCGTAACTCAAGCAATAAAGTTATGTATTCGCAATCATAAATGCCCATATCGTGCATATTGAATGTTTCAACTCCAGGTAACCTTTCCACTGGGATAATCACACTCAAGCTCTAAGCTCAACCTTGTGACTCTGTCTACCCCCTCTCTCTGAGGTCATTGTGTTTGCTAACCATGGTCTTGTGGGCTCATTTTGGCTTTTTTTTTCGAAATGCAAAGAGACAGACAATGAGCCAACAGCATATACGATTCTCTCATTGTATAATTTTCCTTCTCTTTCCTTATTTTCTCTCCAATTTCTATTCAAAAGAGAGACCATCTTCTTCCATCTCTGCAACAAATCCCAAGTCCCTCACTTCACTGTACAACTAAAGATATAGATGTTTTTTCAATTGTTTTTGACCTGTTTTATCAGGGATATTTCGTGCCATGATCAGTGCCCGGCAGCCTCCATGTCAGAGGGGCATAATCCAGGAATGGTCAAGACCAAACCTGTGACCATCCCCCCCCCAAACAAAAACAAAAACAAAAACAAAAAATCCAACCTTTGTGCTGTTCTCAGATCATATCTCAACACAAGGCTCCTGAAACCCAGAATCCCCCCTGCTGTTTGAGAAATGACACCAAACCTGATTTCACTTCCATTTCCATCTCATGTGAGAGTGTTTAAACGCTCTACTCTTGAGGTCAAGTTGAGGTGTGATGCCAGGTCTAGAGACACTAATACCTGCCTGAAGTAAGTAAGTTGCCTCTGCTCCAAGTTATTGGCCCACAGGACGCTCCACCACGTCTAGAAAGTTTTTCCAAGAGAAACACCAAAGCAGACCCTGGGCAGAGTCAGGGGATGGAGCTGGCAGAGCAAACACACCTGCCAGGCTGTTTGTAATGATGCCAGCTCCAGTAGTTTCCCTTCACATGGCAAAGTGCACCAGACATGACAGACAGGAGGGGTGAGTGCAGCAGACGATGCATGGTAAGAAGGGAGGAGGAATGTGGTTAGATGTGTTGTTAGGGGAGTTGTTATTTCAATATTGTCCGTCTCCTGGGAAGAGAACATCTCTGCAGCTGTTACCATGACGCCTGAGTATATGCCGGGCTGAATGAAAGAGCATGTCAATCACTGCAGGAGAGGCAGAGGAAAAACGCAAACATTCCCTGTGTCAGTGTGCTTGCATGCAGATGCATACGCCTGAATATGTGTGTGTATGTACACACGTGTGTTGACTGACAGTGTGGGTGTTCTCATGCTGAAGTGGTCCTCTCACTCTGAGAGACTGGCTCTTTTACAGTCAGGCCCATTCAAAGAAAATTACCGTAACACGTTTCCCATATAGTTTACTACTGCAGGTTTTCTATTTTTCCTCATCTCATCTAATGCATGCGTGCGAAGCTCTCATTGTAATTAAATAAAAACTTTATTAGAACAAAGCTGGAAGGAGCAGAGTACATGGATGGTCTTGGATCCTGCCATCTGAGTGTAGCACTCCAAAACTTCATTAGTGAGTATTGGAGGGAAAACAGAAAAAAAAAAAAAGGGGGGGGGGGGCAGAAGTGGGAGCAACACACACATAAAAAAAACCTAAGCTCTTTTATGTTTCACAGAATGTCATCTATCAATAGTATGTGCTTACTTCAGCAATTGACCTTGAAGTGCATGAAACCCTGGCTGTTTGCTAGCAATGGTGTCACTTGTTTGAAGGTTTAACGAGTGTGAAGCATGAGTATGTGCCGATGACAAGGTGCTGGAAGAAAGAGAACTCACTGTCAACTACATCACTCCTCTAATATACCTCCTTAAATCTGAACTGGAGAATGTGAGTGATGGTTTGAGCTAAAGGGCTTCAGGCTGTGATTTTACAGAAGGAAGTGTCGAACTGTGGAGGCCAAACAATGAACTCTGGTCAATAGTAGAGTATATTATACCCAGCATTACTTTTACACCTAATGCTGGGTATAATATATAAGTAGAAGCTGGTCAATCTGTACATTCTTTGTTCATTCTTTGTTAAAGCAGAGTCATTAATGGTATTTTTGCCCTCATTCAATAGGACCATGGATAGAGCAGGAAACTGCGAAGTGAGAGCGGGGGAATGACATGTGGGAAATGAGCCACAGGTTGGACCTGAAACCCAGGCCTCCCGCCTGTTGGACCCCAGCCGCTGTACACGGGGAGCGACCTAACCGCTAGGTCATCTACCCTTCCCCCCGTATCCTTTTCATTTACCTATCTATTACTCACTTCTTCCATGAGAGGCTTTTCCAGAGTCCTGCAAAATTACAGAGACAGAAGAAGACATAAAGAACAAAGGAATTGAAAAGTGATGGCATGAGTAAGATGGAGAGCACAACAAAAGCATGGACCGAGTTGAAAGTGTGAAAGAATGGTAGAAGACAAATAAAGCCTTTGTTCTTAAAGAGGAGCATGTGTTGTACAGATGGAGTAGATTCTTCTCCATGGCTTTGGTGGTTAGGTGTATACACAGAATGTTGGCTTAGACTTGGTATGTGTAGTAGGTATAAACAGGCAGTAAGGTGCATGAAAGCATGGCAGAAGATCTAAGAGTTTGTTCCTTTACACATCTCCACCTTTGTCCCAGCTTTCCTTCTCTCAGTAGATCTATTGATGTCTTCTTTGTATTGCTTGATTTACTCAAATTTTGTCCATGCCCACTTCTTCAATAGTAACATAAGCTGCAACTACAATCAGACTGTTTGCTTTACTTTAACAATTGCCATTTTTTTTGTTAGTAGTAGCGCTGTCTATTCAAGACACCTGCTCATGTCTTTGAGCTCTGATCACTTCTCCTTCAAGGTAATTTCTGAAAACAGATTCTACACAAAACGTCTGAATTGGTAGACAAGGGACAAGATTTTGGTGTCAGAAGAAAATAGAATCAGGTTTATTGCAAAGTAGGTTTGGTTTACATTGACAAGAAATGTGTTTTGGTGTTATGGTGCAAAACAATCAATGAAGTAGAAGCAATACTCCTACTGTCAAGGAACTTAAACAAAAAGCAAGTAGTAGAACGCCTTAGCATTTATGTGTACTCTTGCTGTTTGCGAGTAGCCATCCATATGGAGAGAAGGGGAGGTAGAACTCATCAGCCAATACCAGGACCATCTGCAGACATTGTGCAACTAACACAACTAGTTCTTATTAATCTTTAGAAACGTATATGCACATAAGTGCAACTAACATCCGCCCATAGACATCTTCTTTTACTCCAATTCTTTCCTGGTGTCTTGAGTTGTTTATTGTTCTTAAACAATGATGAACTAATGGAAACAGAAACCTATGTTTTCTGAATAAGCCCTGGCTTTACAGGAAGCCCCCTGAAATTGGCCATCACTCCCAGTGGTTATATTATTGGTTGAAAGACTGCCTAAAAATCTATTATACTATGCAAACTTCCCAGACTGTTTCCTTTGAAAATGTAAAGAAACACTTAAGTTGAAGAAGAAGAAGAAGAAGAAGAAGAAGAAGAAGAAGAAGAAGAAGAAGAAGAAGAAGAAGAAGAAGAAGAAGAAGAAGAAGAAGAAGAAGAAGAAGAAGAAGAGACTACATCCAAGGTGGTGCTGTGTTGTTGGTAATTACTGCAAGACATATTAATTACCAGCTACCAGTTGATTCTTTAAGACGTTGTATCTTGGAATATAGAGCTGAGTGGAGCTCTTTCTTTCCTCGTTATCTCCTGTCATCCAATCAGCCCCTGATAAAGAAAACAGTCCAAACAGTCTCAGGGTGCTGCTTTCTCCTCCACTGCTCTCGTCTCCCTGAGAGCCACTTGTGTTTCATCGCCTGGGAAAGAGAAGAGCTAGACCCCTGACCCGGGACACGCACTGCTGGGTTCCTCTGGGCAGAGCCAGCTTCCCCCCTGGGCTCCGGCTACGGATGATAGGAGGGGATTGGGTTCGCAGCACCCTGGGGTGACTGGAGGAAAGGAGGTACAGAGTTGAAATAACATCCAGGGCAACCCACGAATATGAGCAGTGTGATAGCTTTTCCATTTTAAAGACAGAGCAGCCTTAAAAAAAAAAAAAGGGGGGATACTGGCTTTTCCACTCCACCATTGTAGTAGGGAGCTG